GACAGAGACATAGCAGGCTTCAGCTGGAAGGAGCAGGGAGTTCACATAGAGAGAAAACAGACGAAGAAAAACTCAAGTGTCCAGAGTAATATGTAAAGCAAGAGCAGAAAGAGTACAGTGAAAGAGTCAGAAAAAGAGGGACCAAAGAGGGAAGAGGTAAATCATGAGAAGAGAAGGCTGAAAAGCCAAAAGGAGGTTAAAATTTCAAGGAAGACTCATCACCAGTGTCAAATACCACAGAGTGGTCAGCAAGGACAGGAAGGGAAGAGAGGCCACCAGACTCTTGATCAGCACATCACTGGTGATGTGTCTAAGCAACAGAGTGCAGTAATGTGGGAATTATTCCCTCATGGTTTTGGCCAACTGCTTACTAATAAACCTCAATTCCCCTTAGCTCCGATTTAATTATTTTCTGTCAAGGATTACCAATTATATGTATGCTGTCACTGAATATTAAGAAATTTTGCTTTCTGAGGGGCTGCCTCAGTAAGAATCAAAGGTTAGCTGGAAGTGTTCTCGCTGTACTCCCCCAGCCTCCTACCCACTCTCACCTCCCCCTAACTGCCAAGGGGATTCTTGTATTGTTTTTCAGGGTTTCTGATGAACATTTGGCATATGGTGAACACTCAAGGAAAATTTGTTCAATTAATGTGAAGGCAAGGGATGTAAGAAGTGGATGGGAAGAAAGTCTCCTCCCATATTGGAAATATGGCAAATTACACCCTCTTTCAACATTAAATATAACTAGGGATACCTTTACCCTATAGTCTACCATGATGGAAAAGTGGGGGCTTGGCAGTCAGACATGCCTGAGGACTGAATCCAGCTGTGCCACAGTTCACACCTGCAAAGTGAGAGCTGGTTGGACGGGTTGAATAACCTACGACGTATGTAGAGATCCAATCCAGAGCTCTGCGCCAAGTGGAGCGCAGTGAATGGTGCGGTCCGTGTCAGTATAGCTGTTATTCATCCCACAAGCTGCTCATTCAGATAGAAAACTGTAGTAACTTTCCAAATAACTTGGAAAGGAAAACCTCACGACCTTTCGCCTAGAAAGATCTAATCACTTCTTTGAACTCGAATTTGCCTGAGGGCGCAACTCCAACCAACGTCAAAGCGGGTGTCCTGAAGGCCCGCTCGGTGCCGTTTCTCAGCCATTTCTCTTGACTCCAGACTCGTAAACAGCATGACGTTAAAAAAAAAAAAAAAAAAACACCCG